CCATAAAAAAACAGGCAGGTCAGTGGCAAGTCAGGCAAGTTTAGCTACCTTGTTACCACAGTTGAACTGCGAGTATTTGCTTATATATTGGCTTAGACTGAGTTGTAACTCATTTGATCTTGTTCGAATCTATTGATAAGTCAAAAAACATTCAACCATGTCCATTGCGATCGTTAATATCATTGTTTAGACAAATTCCAAAGGAACAATGAGGAAAGAGAGGGGAAGGAATCTCCGTTGTTCAACAACCTTATCTTATTTAGAACTTTTAACGCAAAACTCAGCCTGCTTTCTAAACATTTTGATAAAAATCAGATAAGGATAATTTTCGCCATTTTGAAGTGAAAATTTCTAGAAATTTCCTAGATAAATTGTTTTTAATCATCGTTTAGCTGGTTTCATCGACACGTGGATGAAACTTTTACGTTCATAAGGATCATTTGAAGATAAAAATATAAGATTAGCAAAATTTATCGAAATTTCATTCATTCATTCTGATGATAGGTTGACTTTCGGCAAATAATACCTGGCATGAATAATACCTACTTATTTACTTCATCTCAGCCATATTTATAGTTGAAGAGGTTTTATCAATATCATTTGAACGGTTCTTTAATGCCCTAAACTTATCAATGACACAAAAAAACTGATAAGACTCGTTGATATGCTTTAAAAGAAACAATCTGCAAACAATTTTATTAAGGAAAAAGTTCAAAATTGTCTGGAACAACTAATTTTAAAAATAAAAAGATCATGAAATATTCTAATTTTGGATGATTAAATTTAATTAAATTATAAAAATTTATTTGATTTAATAAGCATTAAAAGTTTCGCTTTCAAATTATAATAATTATAATTAGCTGCTGATAACATAATATAAGCCATTTGCATATTTTGCACTAATTAAATCACTAATAGAATCGAAATCAGAGGACATTATTTAAAGCATTAGAGAGAAGATTGATATCCGAACGGATTGAACTGACAGCCATCATCAATGTACGCTTATTATTCAGCACTTCAATGGTTTCCGTGTATGGATTGTAACGCGCAATGAATGGTCGATTCATATTCATCGTAAATGATCTTAAATTGTATTTTATTTTAATTATTTTATATTTTAATAATTATTTTATATTTTAATAATTATTTTAATCGGGTTTTACTAACGAATCACATATATTACCGTCTGGCAAAACTTCTCTTATCTCCTTCGACAGGCCAGGGAAACAAGCAAAATCAAAAAAAAAAAATTCGTTAATCATTAATGTTCAAAAAAATTTTCATAAGAAAAATAAATTATAGGCTTTTTTCTTTTTTTAAAAGAAAATAGCGATTTTTTTTCGAAATATTTTATAAAAATATATTTTATAATCATAAAAAATTTTTTTGAGAGTGTTTGAAAAAATTATTTTTCAGTTTATTAAAATTATGAATTTATATAAATTCAACGAGAAATGAATGGTGGCAACAGAACTTATATTGCCATAATACAAAAATACATAATACAAAAAATAGTTAATGTAAGGGAGGAGGACTAACATATAAATCTTTAGAATTATAGAAAGACCACAGTTTTTTTGGTATTTAATGGTTTTCTGATTAAAACTGCTCTCTCGTTAGATAATAGAACCAAATTTCTGTTTAAATTATGATTATTCCCTATTCAAAAAATTCACCTTAATTTCTGTATTACTTCCTCAAAAGTACGCGTATAAAAGTAATTTTCCTGATACGTCGTAACAAGGCAGGACTGCTTTATTACTTTTTCAAGTTGAAATTCCTCCACATTCGCATCGTTTGATATCGCATGCTTAACACACAGGAATATTAGCACTGATAATTGCGTATTTGCATAGCCCTCTCCAGAAGAGAAAAAAATTTAAAAAAATCAGCAAACTTGTAGTTCATTGGCTGAAGAAAGGAGACCAGCTCCATAAACTTTTAATTCACCGTTCTTTCTTATGCGATCATTTTCGTAAAGTTGTTCGCTGCTATGACTGCGACATAAACCAAACTCGATAGTGAAAAAATATATCTGAAAGAAAGAAATTGAAATAATATATTTGCATAAGAAAAAAATTATGATCATTATCCAAGTCTTTTGAGTTGTACCGTTGCGAGTTTCTTTAGGTCATCCTCCGAAGCTCCTAATGAAGCTAGGCCAATATCTTGAGTGAACTGAGCGAATAGGGGGTCGGCTAGAAGTGGAACATGTCCGATTAATTCATGAACCGTATCGCTGCAAATTTTACGTATAGTATTTGCAAAATAATATTTCTCGTTCTATAAAGCTCGGCATCGTTAAAATTTAAAAGTTTTAATTCATGCATCGAGGCATTATGCTTGGCTAACATTTTTATTTATAATAAATGTTTCTTTCAACATGAATGAATTAATAAATTCAAGAAATGAGTGCGTCTTACGGTTCCGGAGTGTAAAATGGATCCGAGTGATGTCGTATGTACTGCGTGCAACAGAATACGCGAAAAGCAAGACAGGCGAGAAAATCGCGCGCAGACAGATATCCGGCGACAGGTCGTAAAGTAAAACCACTTTTTGCTGAAAAAATGCGAAGAAAATTGTGGTATGCTATATTACGCAATATCATTCTTTTGAAATTTTGTGGAAATGACCCAACCTTTTAGAAATCGGGAGATTTCTTCTAGCTGGGGAATGTTGTTCTCTGAATAATTGCAAAATCGTTCGAGAAATTTAAAATTTTCAAGAAATTCCTTGCACGCATGTTTTTGATGTAATTCTCGCAATTTCAAGTAAATCGTTTTCCTAGAATGAAATAGTCCTTTCCATTTATTTTATTTTATTATTATATGTGGTAAATCTGATAAAATATCCGATAAAACATTGAAAATAAGCAGATAAGTTAAGTTTCTAAGAGCATCCGCCATTTTTGGCTCATTCTTGTTGATTGTTGGATACGACAAATTTGATTAAAAAGACTCACTTAGGCATAGGTGTCCCAGTACCTATCATTTGAAAAATAGGTTTAATGGTTTTTCTAAGAAATGGCTTGAACTTTTAAAAATCGCTAGATTTCTTCTAGCTGAGGAATGTTGAATAATTAGCCGTGTTTGGGCAGAACTTCATCATCGGTCACTCTCGGCGCTCACAAAGTGAAAACAAAAGCATACTAAGGCATTCTAATGGACATTCTAATATGTCTTTCGATAACCTTAAGGAAATTAAGGAAATTAATCACACATTCAAGAAAAAAAATTGAACTAACCAGGTTTCCAATTCTTCCTTCGTGAATTCAACTTTTGGTATAACTGTGCCCCTAAATTAAAATATTTCAAGGCTGCTTTAGTTTTTGTCAATTAAAAGCTAACTGCTTTGATTTGAAAGTCTGAAATTGGAAGGTGAAAATGTGAAACAAGAAGAAGTAAGGGAGAGAAAAAAATGTAAAATATATATTCGTTGATGGAAGAATATCAACTGTTTGTAGTTGTTTGCCATTTCAGCAAATAGCAAGCGACGCTTTCGATATGTTTCATCAGTAAAACCCTGAAATGGCTTATTGGCCAAAATAAAATATCTCATAAAATATAAAATAATTTAGATCGAAATTGCTTCGAATTTAACGAGTTCTTTTCTCGGTTAAAACCGAAATTGAATTGAAATTAAAAAAATAATTTTAATTAATTAATTAATTCATATAAGCCATCTCGAAATTGAAAATTCTCTCCATAAGTATGAACGATTTATAAAATATTTTCTTGTTTTATTAAATTATATTTACTAAATTATATTAAATATATATTTAATATTTTGTGAATTAAATAAAAAGAAAAGTGAGTGCCATCTTGTTGATAAGCATTTCTCTTATAAGCTTCTCTCTGTATATTTTTAGTATTGTTGTTAATTAATTGATCAACCATCTATCAATTTGTGGAACTTCTTTAAAGCACTATTACTTCACACTAAATTAAGCGTTCATCAAATATAAAAATAACTACTTAATTTGCTTTACCTTTTATCTCGATTTTTTCTCTTTCCACTTTTCAACCTTAAATAAACTGTAAAACTGCAAACTCACCTGTACACCCACCTTATGGTGAAAGAATTTGATAATTTTCGACATATTTGTATAAATGCTTTTATGTAGTGAGATTTTGCGTTAAAGATCATACAAACGCTTATGCAAATCAAAGGCAACAGTCTAATATTTTATAATCAAAATCAAATCAAACAATCAAAATCTTGCAGCCGTTTCAAACTCAAAGGTTTCACCACATTTCAGGTCTAAATATTGGAAAATCTCAATAATATTAACATCAACGACATCTCTTTACCAGGTTCATTCAATATGCACAACGGCGAAGCACTAAAATAAACCATTCGGAGAGATTGGGTATCGAGAGAAACGCCCCAACTGTTCAAATAATCCTTCACAGGTAAGTCCGCAGGTAAGGAAATAAGAAATTCAATTCATCAATAAAATAAATAAAAACTACTTCTTTGTTTCGAACGTAATTTCGCTATTCAACAATTTGAAAAATTCAAAATTTAATATTATTTTAAATTTTTTTAAAGAATATTACAGGATGATCGCCGCTTAATCCACTGCCATACATAATAACTCGTTTAGCGCATACATCGAGATCACCGATATGCCTTGGAAACCATTCAGAACCAACTGTTACATCTAAAAAGATGAGATAGTAAGCTTAGCAGCAATTTCAGTAGTTCCCTTTAGGCTAAATTATAATATTTGGCAAGTTGCCGACAATATTTATCTAATCATCTTTTTTTAAAAACTGCCATGCTCACTGTCTTTTTCCAAAAACTTACTTTCGAACCCTGATTCATTGTATTTCATTGCTTCAGATGGTACCAGTGGAATACTGGTAACTCCGATTTCTTGCACCTGAAAATCACTTGAAGATTATCCCATTGAGCTGCTGCTGAAATAGCAATAAAATATGGGATGCTATTAGCCGGATGGCATGTTGAGGACAGATTTTGAAATATTTGGATCATCTATGATATGCTTCCATGATATGCGCGAATGCTCGCGATAACGAAAAAACTTTTTTATAGGTTCTATACGAACTTTATCACCTATTAGCATCTCTTCCTTAAAGGAATAATTTAGTGGTTGTAGGAGATTCGGAATCGAAACTAGACATCTAATCATCACATGGCGCTCCCCAGATAAGCATATTGTCTATATTCTAAATAATAATCATTGGAGAGCTTTTATGTTGGGCTTCTGCTCAAATAAAGGAGTCGAAATTAGTAGAACAAACACTTTAGAGCGAAGATTCGAATGAAATTAAGCACCCAGATTGTTGCACAGATCCATAGAGAAAAAACGCATTTCAAAGTGAGATATTGAAGAACCTCAACTGTGATATTAGTGGCAGCATCTTTCTATCAGCCAAGCACTGACCATATTTCCGATCTCGTCTCCAAGATTCGTTAAATCCATCATCATAGGAGCCACAATGTTGTTCGAAAGTCGGTACAAAGGATCTTTAAAGAAATAATCGCCAGTCCAATTAAGTACCACCAGTGCACAGATGAAGAGGCGAAAACTAAGACTTGCAACGATTGTCATGAGACAAGAATGAATGAAGAATGGAAAGAATGACAGTGCTATAGCCTTGAATATGAAGCTCGAATAGGTGATAATCGAAAATTCTATCTCTTCACAAAAAAGCATAACGGGAAACACAGTTGGGAAAATGACTGGAAATAGAAATGGAAAACCTATTGAAATCAAACGCTCAAACGCCGAATCAGATGAAAGATTTCTTTAAGGACAAATTTAACTATGACAATCGCATTCTTCAGATTGTTCAGCATCTTTCATAACTTATCTGCAAAAATTGCCCTCACCCAAAGGGAATAAGGAACAAGTACCGCGTGACTGTAGCAAAGTGATTCTATTCCCATTTTCAATTATAATTATAACAGATTTTGTGCCAATTGTCAACAGGAGCAAAGATAGGCCTGAATATCAACGTAAGGCGGAACCTTTTTCCATCTATCCGACGTTATTAAAATACTAAGCTATAGAAATTTTTCATTGCTCCAAGAAGTATTGGATTTGAATCATCTGAGATTTCCTCTTATATCCGCTGGTTAAGCGGGGGATGCAATTCCAGCTGGGATTGTTGGTACCAGAAATTCCTTTCCAGATATTTTTTTCTGTCTGGCAAATTTATGTGAAATCGCCTTAAAATTTATCTAATAAAATGATACCACTCTTACATTTAGCTGTTTTGTATAGCCTTTTTTTGTTGCTGCGAAATGGCTGGTAAGTATGGATATATATGAAGAAGACTATCTATATAAAGCGTGGGCAAGATCTCAAATGGCTACGTTTAAATTCGCATTTGTATTGATTGTATTATCACGACTAAACGTAACCTATGGTGGTTATGTCATTCGTCACAGCTCACCATAGGGATTTATATGTAAATGTGTAAATTCTGTAAATCTGTGAATCTCGCGATGGATGGTATCAAAAACCAATCAAGAACAGAAACCGCTAAAAGAGATTTTGTGCAGTCTCGCTTTGCACATATATATATATATATATATATATATGCAGTTTTCTTTTTAGGAGCATTCACTATTACTGGTTACATTACATTCACTTCTCAAGTGTATCGCATAAGGATTGAGCAACAACCTACTAAGCCATCCTATGTATCCAACAAAAAGTAATTCACCGGCCGGAACATAAGCCTCGATTTCCGGCAGTTATTTTGCCATCGAACCACCGACACAAATCCCACTATAGTATGATTTAAGTAATAAAAAAATGGATGTTAATTCGAGACATAAAATCAAATCAGGAGCTTGAAAATATTTAGGTCACCAACGGAGCCAGGCAAAGCAATAATAATGCAAATGCTAGAAAAAGGAGAAAATTGCAATAAACTGATAAATCTGCTTCTATCACTTCAAGACATATTGAACGGAGATTTTCAATGATCGTCTCTCGCAATTCGCGCTTCATTAGTTCGATCTCAAGAAGGATTTCCATAATATTTGCTTCGCCAGATTTGTGGTCACGTGATTCAATGTGTTTGAGGATTCCAGATTCCTGTGAGAAATTATGTTAATAAGCTAAAATGAGAATTTTCTTGTTATTTATGAGAATCCAAGCACACTTATAAGTATATTCATGAGACATACGATAATTGAGACGAAAGCAACTATTATTGGGTGTTTCCCAAATTTATCTCTCTTAACGCATTGCTTTGGTTTTTGGAAATTTTAATTATAATTTTTAGTTAAATTTGATTTACTTACCGGTATAAAATTCATAATATTGGCTATCATCACTGGCGTTCCTGTAGTTTTTATGAGAAGAGTTATCAACGACACCGATTCTTCCATCACTTGTTGCTTCTTCTCATCCTCCTGTTTTTTATAAAAATATTAATGTATAGAAAATATAATTGTAAAAGTATTTATATATATATGTATATCACTTTTGTCCTAATTGGCATTCTTGCGTTTTCATTCTTAAATGTTTCATTTAATAAATACTTTAAAAAACTTTAATACTTTTAATACTTTAATACTTTAAAACTTTAATACTTTAATAGTTTTTACAGTTTTTTTCATTTTTTTAAAATCGAGAGAGATTTCTTCATTTCCTCTAATAGTTATCAAAAATTTCGAGGTTGTGATCTTATGATTTTGAAAAAATTATTAAATACTAAAGAAACATAAAGATTCAAGAAAAATTGGGAGAAAGATTTGAGAATCCAACTTTTCATCTCAGTTCTGTCTAAAAAGTCGTTTGATTATCAATATTCACATAAAATCATAAAATAACTAAGGGTTTTTCTCAAAAAATAACTATTTCCATATTTACAATCGTTTTCTACGATTCTTCCTGCTTTGGTTCGCCAATTCATAAAACAAGAAAAGGTCACAGTTATTAGGTGGATGGAATTTCCCAGATAAGCTGTTCCGTTAATTAGCAGTTGTTTTTTAAAGCATGATTTGTCATGTCAAGATGAACTGCCAGTCATCGGGTGCGCTAAAATTGTAAGATGGACAAATAGAAATATGGAAGCAGCTGATGTAAAGACCAGGAAACTCCTCAAAATACATTTTCCACCACAAATTCAAAATAAAATCATGGCAAATGTATAAATATTCCATTGCTTATGGTTTCCGTCTGTGCAGTGAGATAATTCAGCAAAAATGTTACTATGAGAATTGAGCAAAAATAATGCTAGGTTTGCTCCAGTCAAGATTGAATCTGAACACATAAAATAACAATGAACTCAATATGCATTTGCTACACTGCCTTCAGCCAGATAATCAAATAAATTCAATAATCAAGGATTGGATCCATTACAATCGGCTGGAATGGATTTCACTACCAAAACTATTAAGATAAGTTTTGATTAATATCACATGCATTCTTTCTTTGAACAAATTGAATCAGAAAAATGAATTTCACCAAAGATAGCCCAATGATGAATTGAAATCGCTGAACTCAGTTCAAAGAGAACGAGGTAATTCATCGAAAGACATCAAAATACTTGTTGCCCGACATCTCAAATAGTA